CCTTAACACGAGTATTATACCAATTTAATGCATCACCTGCAAGGCATGATACTACTAATCCAAATGCCTCTTCTCTTTCAGGAGCCTGACCTACACCTAGTGCAGCATTTATTCGACTAGCTATTATATATCTTTGCATGTCTCTAAGCCAATCTTCTGAATCTTCTCCAGAACGTCCATAAAATATTGGGGGTTCGTATCCTACTATTCCTATTTGTTGTATATTAAATGGATTATTCTGTAATGCTAAAATTTATCCCTGTAAATTTAAAATATTCTGATAAGAATTTTTTTCTTTAGCCTTCCATTTCTCATATCGCTCATAGAGTTTATCTCGATTATATTCTAATAGACCTATATTGCCTCTACAATACTGTAGGTAGTAGCATTTCGTTAATACAATAATTGTAAGGCAAATTTTCTTGTACTAGTTCACATATACGAGTTTGTTTTCTTGTCATCCTATCTAACATTCTATTAACCTGATTTTGGCCATTAGTTCATAACTGATGAAGATCACCAATAGCCCTTTGTTCTATCCCTTCAGTAAGTTGCCTTTGTATAATTTCATTATCATGCTCAGCTTCTGCGTCATAATGCCTTCTCTGCTCCCAGATTATATCCTGATGCAAATTATTTTCTTTTCAACGAATTGATCTTGTTACCCTTTTTATTTGATCTATCAGAATGTCCCTAGTCATTGCTCTATTATTCAGATAACTATCTATAGCATTTGCTAGCTCTGTGATTGTAGCCATATTATCATCGGAATTATACAAGTCTGAAGAATTCCCTCATTCAGATGTATTTTTCGTGATGAGATGGTCTTGATCCGGTATCGCAATTTCTCAACTTGCTCTTCAGATTCTTCCAAGCGCTTTTTTAAATCAGAGATATAGTTTTCCTTATTCTGTATATCCTTCTTACCTTGATATAGCTGAGTTTTTAGACTGGAGATTTCAGACTTCAATTCTACTATCTCTTCTTTCGAAGCATTCTCAAGGCGTTCTATCTTCCTATTAAGGGTCTGGATTTCTTGCTCACATTGGGAATAATCTCGCTTCAGCTGATTAAATCGTCTTTCATTCTGATGATTACTATCAACTTCTGTTTGCAATTCACTATGAAGATGATAGTTCTCCTTCTCCAGCTCGGCCTTATATTCTTTACATGTTCTTATTTGCTTTAGATAGGACCTTCGAAATGCCATTCTTTTTTGTGATTATAAAAGAGAATCAGAATGAGTCAACTGCAAATTTTGATAGACCCTGATGAGACCCAGAGAATTGAAAAAATATCATATTACGTGAAATATATTATTGTCCGACTGGCTATTATTTCAACTTTAAATCTTTGAGAAATGCATGTAAAAAAGAAGAGCATCAATTTCGCCTAAGTGAATGCAAAGATTTTTTCGAGAATCAAAAGTCATACCAAACTAATAAAACCTCTCCAAAATATATCCCTAGAGTCAGCTATGGACGAATAATACGCCTTAACTGTGTATACTAGTGCAATATACTATTTCTCGCTCATAATTACTATAGAGGTAAAAATTATAAAGCAGTACTTAATATTATAGACTGCGCCTCCAGATACAAGGCCTCAGTTTCTCTTAAATCAAAAAAAGTTCTGAAGTTGCTAAAGCATTCAGGAGGATATATGGTAATCGAAATAATCCATTAACCTGGCCAAAGCTTTTACAATGTGACAGAGGTCGTGAATTTATAGGTGAAACTTCTTGATTAATGTAAGAGCATGACATTACAATTCAAGTAGTCAGCCCATATAATCATAGGGGACTTGCTTTTGTGAAGCGTTTCAATCAGACACTCTCAAAAATTCTATATAAGATCCAGTATGCTATTGAGTCTATATCTTCTGATCCTGGATTAATAAGAGCATGGGTTAGATATTTACCAGAAGTTGTTGATTATCTGAATAACTATCCCACGTGTCTTATTTGAGAACTGGGAATAGAAAAGTGGGGGCTTGAGCCTGTAAAAGCTATTGCATTAAAGTGAATTGAATCTAGACCATCCACAAAATATAAGCGTCCAGTTGGAAAAAATGAAATAACGTTAAAGAAAGGTGATAATGTCTGTTACTTACTTGCTAATGCAGAATGGGATGGTAAAATGGAGAATCAGAAACACACAACTGACCCTATATGGTCGCCTTCTATTTATAAAATTTGAAAAGTTATTATCTTAAAGAATGAGCCAGTAATTATTATCTTGAAGGTGATAAATTTACACCAAAGCGGGGTTTATGCGAGAAGAACTTATGCTAATAGCCAACCCAGAAAAAGTTGGGTATCCACCCCAAAGCATATTATTTGTGAATGTTGTCTATATCACTATAGAGAGATAGGTCAAGCTATTGATTATGCCAAAAAGCATGGTGGTCAATGTCTAGAAAGAACTGAGTGAATAAATAGTCATGATATATATTTTTGGTCTTGTGAAAATAATGCGCATCAGTGGGAGTACCCACTAAAATATATCATGAAAAAATTCGATTGGTATCCACTATGTTATTATTCAAATGGAGAGCGTCAATGCAGATATATTTTTGAGGATCTGCTAGATAAGAAATTCCCACTATGTAGGGCTAAGTTCTTAGATGAACTACACTTAGATGGATATAATGAGAAATTACATCTTGCATTCGAATACCAGGATCCCCAACACTATCATCATAATAGTTTGTATCATCAGAAGAATGAAACTTTAGAAATACAAAAAATACGCGATCAGAAAAGCAGAACATCTGCAAAAATCAAGGAATATGCCTTATTGAAGTTCCCTATATAGCTGATCTCTTATCCTATATCAGATATACTCTAATCGAGAAAGAGTTCTTGAAAGAGACGAAGAATTAAAAGGAGAAGACTGATTTATCAGTCTAGTATTTTTTAGTACATCATTAATATACTCCATTTGACATGAAAATAAATAAACTTGAGCTGGTTGATAGACTTGTATATCATATCAACGAGATTAAAGATACCAAAAAATATAATAAACATTTGAGTATTCCCCAATGGCCTTTCACTTTAGGCATCTTTAGCCGTACTAATACGGGAAAAAGTAATAAGGTTCTTAATCTCATGCTCAGGACTAAGCTTTATTGAATGTTTAATGGGAAGAAGAAAGGGACACGCTATATCAAAAATGATGATTTGCTATTGATTGGTCACAATCTTAAGGAGGATAAATATTTGTATCTCAAAATGGCCTATCAAATAATTGCTAATAGCCCAAAGCCATATTGTGAAAATATTTCATTCTGAGCTTTGAAGCCTGATAAGATCCCTAAGGTAGATTCATTCTCTTCAGACAGGAATACAGTAGCTATGTTCGAAGATATATGTGCTGACCCAAAGAAAGTGTAAGAGAAAATTATTCCTTATTTTCTTGAGAGACGCTATTACAACATCAGTTTGATATATATATGCCAGAGTTACTTTGATTGCCTAAAAATAATACGAAAAAATCTTTCACACGTCTACCTATTCAATGGGTTATGCACTATAGACGAGCTGAGCAGAATTGTGCGTCAATATGCTAATGACTGGCGTAGTGTGATTAAGATTATTGATAAGGCATTATGTGAACATAAATTCATTGTTTTTGATTTAACTGTACCCACGAGCATCCACACAGGATACGACTAGGATGGGATCAAATTCTCACTAATGAATAGAATTTTCCTTCAAAGCTATTGATAAAGTGAGACAAAATATATTTTTTTCTGGACTTCTAGGTCATATTCAGACTCAATACGCCTCTTCGCCCATAATTTTCTTTCATGAGTGCTAGAATATATTTCTGGTTCTATAGTCACATCATTATGCTTCGTTTTGGAATGGATCTAATCAACAAGAGTGATAATTTTTCTATCTTTGACAGAAATAATATCCTTCAGATTCTGGCATCTATTCTCTAATAGGTCAATGGACTTTTCAGCTGATGCAATAGCTTTTTTCGTATCAGGAATTAT